ACGGCTATATACATGATAGAATAACAATGGAAATATAATAGCTTTTGCACGCCCGATGCATATAAAGTGCATTTTTATTTGGTATAACTTGTTTACAATAAAGTACTTAATGCTTAAACAATCAAATTAAATATAAATTTAATAGGGTAGATCCAGGCATAAGTTTATATACATATATATCTATATATTCTGATGGCTTCATTATGTATAGTGTTTATTATATCGTTGGTCATTTTGGGAATTTATAGTATTTTTGATTGTTAACCTATTTACAATATTCAATATTTATTTTTCGTTGAATTGTTAACTTATAATAATAAATAATACGTGGATGTGATATAATATTATTAAATTACAAAACATTTATGTGTCGTTTTAATTCAAACATAACAATATAAATTACTATGTATAATAATATAATTCATGATAGTTTATACATCCCTGGGAAATTTATAAAACCATTTATTTATCGTGAGCAATGTGAAATTTTAAAAATTATTCATTCTATTGTATTACACTATAGATTATAGATACTTACCTAGTGGTACAAATAAATAATATTATTGATTTGTGCAAAAAAATACAACTTATCAAAACTAATACTCTTTATGCTTAATTTTTTAGTTAATTTTAATAGCTAATTTAGTTCATAAATGAGATAATGTATAGCCGATAAGTGATAGTTGTCGCTCGTTTTTTTTATTCATTATCATAGTAATAAAGATTGTAAATGTGTTTGATAATAATTCTCATTATATATTTTGACTGTTCCATGCGATCACTTATGATCAAAAAAATAATTTAGTGTATTGCGCTAAAGCTACTGGACGACTTTGGCTATCAAAATATCAAGGTTTAAAGTAATCCGTATTTCAATAAAATAAAAATATTCTTTTAATTAAATATTAAAATACAAAATAAATATTCTTTTTATCTACTAATATTATTCTAAATATTTTTTTCTATAGTTTGTAGTTTAAATACAACTATAAGTAACTATATAAAACAATAATTTAAATACAACTTGATATTTTTTACATTGTTTACTAGATCTTGGTTATTGTATGAAATTTGCAGTTTTCTAAGTTTTTTCTCTGCGAAACATATAATATTCTATATACATAAAACATGAATACCTATGTGATTTAGCAATATTAGTCAATGTCTTATCTTTTATTTGTTATAACTAATACATAATAATTAATAACTCATTGTATTTTAATATTTAATTTATTATATATTTCTTAGAAACTGTTGAAAAATAACGTGTGTAAATCACAAACTAACAAACATGATGATAATAATAATAAGTGTTACTACTACTGATACAATATATACAAGAGTATAAATAATAATTATCTAAGTGTATTATACTAGACACATATCAATTTGATGAAAACTATCATGCATTTAAAAAATTATATTTTATATTAAATCATATATTTTTAAATTCCATCTACAATATTTAATGTAGTTTTACCAAGTTCGGGATTAAACCAATAATCGGTTTCTTTATCGTCAAGTTTTTCAAGGCACTATAGGTATTATTAGATAATATAGATATAGATTGTATTATACTCGAACAAAATACATAAAACTCGATTTTAGATATATCTAACTCAATAGAATTTTAAGTATGCATTACAAATTTACAAATAATAAACAACCATGCATGTAATATAATTTATATACGAATGTACTACTCTACTTTATAAGATAAGTGAATAATATACACAGGTCAACGTGAGCTCATATTGTATAAAGTTAGGTAGGCTCCATTTTCTCATTTCAATATGATAAATATTATTTTACTATATTTAATTTAAAATTCTAAAGCATTATTTGAATCATATATTATGTCAGTAGGTATAGTAATAAAATAAGTATAAAAATATAAAACTACACAAAGTAAGCAAACAATTTTAATCTTCGTGAGGTATTTTGATAATTTATAGTTTATTTATTATTATACCTAAACATAGAAAAAATTATGTACTAACATTCATTCTACTATCTTTTTTATAGTTATTTTTTAATAATTTTTATACGTAAGTTTATTAAAATTTTAAAATTAAACTAGATTTCAATATTATATTCTTTTAAAGAATTGGTGAAACATTTTTAGATGTTCTTAAGAATTAACAAAAAAAAATAAATAAAAAAATAAAAAAATATAGAACATTAAAATATTTTGATGTAGTATTGAAGATTGAAATCGTCAGAAAATCTATTGTCAGAAAATTCAAATGACGAATTGTATTTTCATTATTTTGCGTGTTAAGACATAATATTCATAATATAACCATGAGAGTAAATTTCGCATTATAAACGTAATGTATTCTAAATCTAAAAAAATCACATTAAATGTCCTTGAAATGCCTGCACAATAAGACCTACGGGTTGAAAAAAAAAAACAAAACGATTGTAAGTAACAAATGTAAAAATATGAAAGAATCAGAAAAAATGAAAATTTTCTATTTATATATTTACAATAAAATAATATAATAGAATGATTACAATGAAAAATTATATATTTTGTTGTGGAAGATTTATGTATAATAAACGAGTATTATGATGAATATTTTTTTTTGGAAATGAGGATGTTTTGAACTATACATAATATTATAAGAAAAATTATGCGTGAGATGAGTTCAATGAGATTAAATAGTCAAATTGTGATTTTTATTCGACTACCAAAACTCGTGTCGCAAAAAAACTGTATATTATTGTTAATTCATGAAAATTTATTATTGAAACTTATAAAATAAATATAGGTGCGTAAAAAAATCACACTATTAACTATCGTTCAAAGAAATAATAATAACATTTTAAACCGTAGTGAAAATGTTATGAACCATGCTAATACTCATTTATAAATATTATTATTTTATATTTTTGGAGATAACACTATGTCAATCAATTGTAATATTTATGTTAATCATAACCACTATCCCTAAATATGATTAAATCATAATTATTGAACTTATAAAGACGTAATATTATAATTATCTCAATTGAAAATGTTGGTTGTATGAGGACACTGTACGGTCATAGAGAAATAATAAAAAGTACAGATAGTTTATTCTATTTTAGGGCAGTATTACATTAACTATGGCGAAAAGTTTGTATTATTTTAGTTAGAAAATAATGCATTTATTTTTACAATTAAAATTTTAAATAAATTAATAATAGATATATTGTACTTATAGTTAATATAATTAAAATATTATCATAAAACGTTGAATACATATCAACTATTAACTTTTCTTTGGCAATTAAAAAGGCTTAAGTTGTTTCATTTTACACTTTTTTGTAATTCCTTCTTTTTGTTTAAACATTATGGATTATCCTAGATATTGTATTTATTGCCATGTAAACTGACACAAATGTAAAAAAACAGTATTTAATTTTTTATTTTGTGGTTTTAAAATGGTCTATTGTAAATAAATATTATTCTCTTAAATACTACCAAACTAATATTAATCGCAATCGCGATCGAGATCGCATGAATTTGATCTAAAGTTTTGATTAATCTAATTATATCTCATTTTAAAGAATATATTAACTAATTTATTTTAACTGTACAAATTGCCCGAGATAAATTATTTTTTCTTTATCGTATCACCTTAAAAAGTGTTCACGTATGAAAATCAAACAAAGATAGTATAAAATTGTCTCTTTACCGGAAGCTTTTTTTCTTGTGTAAATATTAATAATCTGTAGTCTTTTTACCCTGCGCAAACAATTTTTTTACGATTATATTATTCAGTTAATAACCATGAACCATTAATAGTTTTTATAGTTTAAGTATAAGTACCTGAATTTAAAATTTAAATTTTCATTAAAATTGCCAGTATAACAAACCCTTACAATAAGTAAATATGCTGGTGCTCTTTATTGAAATATAAACAGGAATACATTTGTATAAACATTAATTCATATAACATAAATTCATATTTAGTACCTGAAAATTAAATGGATAATCATTCACAACCGTGGTAACTAGTAAGGTGTATGAAATTTAATAACAATGTTTACACACAGTATAGAAGATATGGAAGGATAATACTAGTATAAATCATGACAAAATGACCTCACAGAAATTTTTGCCCTTCCCCATATCTTCTAAGTTATTTTAGAATATAGTTATTATTTTTGCTTCAAATTAAAATAAATATTAACTTGACAACATACATGAATACATTTTCATAATTATTGAAATAATCAAAGAAGTATACGTAAGTATGTAATTAAACTGCATAAGTAAGTGTTTAAATAAAAAAAAAAAAATTAGTATTGACTTTACAATCGACATACGTTGTTATGAGATACTTTTCAAGTAAAAAAAAAATATATTATGTTATTTTATTTTAATTTATAACTTGTTATTAAAATGTACAATAAATGCAATGGCCTCGTATTTATAGTTATTTTAGACTCAAAAACTACCGATTTTAACGAAAGTCTTAGAAATTGTTTTTAGAGATATTAGAGTAGTTAAGATAGTAGTTAAAACTTCGATGAATAATATTCCAAGTGCTTTATCTAATCTGCCACATGTGGATGGCCAATCTCGGTGGAATAGTACACAAAGCGAGGTCACCAACACCCAATTATTCATGAAGTGATAGGTATACTGATATGAAACCGTCATGTTATATGTCTATTCATTTTTTCCTAGGCAATGTTACGATGACATACAGCTATTATATAGCTATAAATTATAACTAGAGTGCGGATTTCTATGCAATCGCATTTTTTTTCCTCTTTACTTTTTTGGACTTTTGTCAGTTATCTTCACGAATCATAACAATTTAAATCTATTGGCAAAATTTTTTTTTCATATTTCTGCATATTTAATGGTTATTGCATATTTTTACACAATTCGAAATGTATTACATAATAAAACGAAATTTTTTTATATACTTAGTATATTTAATTAATTATTATAAGTTGTTTAATTTGTGAATTTTATATAAATAAAAAAAATGTTCTTGCATATTTGTTGCATATTTTTATGATTTTTACTGCATATTATATGGCAAATTTTAATACTTTTTGGTGCATAAAAATCCGTGCTCTAATAATACGGCTACTAGTCGTTTGCAATTTAAAAACATTTATTCGCCCGAAGTTGCTATTTATTGGCTAGGTAAAAGGCATTTTCTCTTTGAAAACAATCCTAATTAAATCCCTTAATTCGTTGTTTTTCTGCTGTTCAGCTTCAAGCCGTTTTTCTAGTGATACTTTGTGAATGTTTTCAGAATCGTAACTGGCTAATATATTCAATAAGTCTTTCTTTTCCTTTCGGAATTGTGCAATACTGTTTTCGGCGATCTTTGTGTACCTCTTATTTTTGGCCAACTCCATTCTAAGCACACTTATGTTGCTGTCGTAGTTTAAAAACGAAGTTTTCTTTGGTTTCTCATTTAGTTTACTGTCTAATACTGAACCAAAATTTTCCATATACTCCTTGGAAGAGGCGACGAGTTCTGATCTGATTAGTTCAAAATCATCGCCTGCTATTTTTAACGTCGAATTGACATGAACTATTACGTCCTCTAGATTTTTAAATTTACGAGTGTCCATTATCTGTGTCAAACATTGGTAATAGAAATTATTAACACTGACTACAGAAACAATATTTTGCCAAAAACGTTTGCCCATAGTAGTCAAAATTTTATCTAATTCAGGCGTTCCAGTTTTGAAATCAATATCATTGGATTTCAACACATATTTTTCTACATTCAGTGGTTTTGGATTGTTTAATATTACGTTGGCATTAAAAACTTCAAACACATGATTTTTCACCTAAAAATAGTTATAAAAATTATACCTTAAAATATATTTATTTTATTGCAGTAATTTTATATATTGTTAGTAATAAATATATTTAGTGTAAATTTTGAATATACATAATATAATACTCAAAATATACCATAATATAAAATAGTAATCTATATTTTATTTTAAAGTTATATTCTATTATAATTATTATGTTGCTATGTAACGTTTTTATTAGAATTATAATAATTATATAATAAAAATAAATTCAACACTAGCTATCAATCTTAATTTATTTAAGGTTTTAATTAATTCAATAAAAGTCATAATTTGATATTATATTTCATTTTAATGATTCAATATTATTTATATACTGCATTGTATTCATATAGTTAAATTTAAATAAAATATTCACTAATCTTACAAAATTATCGACGTTTTCCACCTGTTTCGAGTCACCTTCTATTTTTATACAATCGTTGTACGAATTACATACATTTTTATAAGCATTGGCAAATGATTTCTTCTTAGCGATAAAATCATTAATTTTAGCATTTAGTAATTTGTCTAGGCATGACCTATGTTTGTCGATCAAAATGTTTACGTTTGATGATATTTCAGTAGGTTTCTGGATTTCTTGCTGATGATCCGCGTCGCAACTTTTGTAAGACCCCAATGAATGGTTAGATGCAAATAATATGGGAGACGCCAGTTCAATGCAAGGCATCGATTTTGTACATTCAATTGTTGTATTAGGTCCAGGTTCTGACATGGCTATAATAATACGTACGACACACGAATTATTATATACAATTTAATCGATATTCCTAGAAAAATGTTTACTTTTATTCATTAATGTAAATTTTAAAATCAATAAAATAAAAATCCAGTGAAATAAAATGTCCAAAGTTCAATTTAGCATGCAATAAAACATACTGTAGGTGTAATAATACTATGAATGTTGTATTTAGTTTTATAAAAGTTTTATTTTTGATCAAAAAATACGCGATTACAGCATACCAACGAATTATTAACAACCTAGCCAGCAGTTGTTTGTTTAACATTTTCAGTAACTACCATTACTTAAGAGTTTCAAAATATTGGTAATAATGTAATTTTGTCCTCAAAAAATACAATAAATAGAAATAATATTCCTATCTTGTAAGATTAACCAAATTTAATTATTTTATTTTTTTTTAAATATATAAAAGGAAATATTCTACAGTCTACACTGAACTCGGTTTTCAATATTTTAATCTCAAATTTTACAAGATGTCTTCAAAAAAAAAAAAAAATAAATAATTTTAAGCAATGTTGTACAACAAAAAGTACATAATATTATATTGTACTGGTTTTGTAAAATTTAAAAATAGCTATGCAAGCAAAACGTAACTGAATATTAGCATTATATCTTGTATACAATATCAATACAACGGAAAATGTATAAATATATTATATTGATATTATTTACTTTTTTTTAATAAAGCAATTTTTGCAAATTAAAAATAGACTTACACTTTGACGGTTAAACCTATATGGACCGTACCAGATTGTACCAAGATTTATACATAGATGTATACTTCTTAATACTTACATTCTATATACGTATGTTTATGACCTATACGTTGTTAGCTTTGTAATACAATAATTACTATGTTAGGGTGTACATACTTTGATCGTCGCGACGTGCATCTGAAGTAAACAATATATATACTGTATGGGGTGTGGGAATATCCGGAACGGGTTAGTATACGCTCACTGTTTCGTTTTTCGCACACCCACGCACAGAGGTATATAATAATAATAATAGTGCACCGGGTTAGTTTCTCTATTCATTCGTGACACAGATTTTAGAAAACGGTGTTGTTGACAAAAAAAAGAAAAAAAAGTACTTAAAATCGAACCAAACCACACCGAAACCGTCACAAAATACGAAATCGAACGATATTATATGAAATGTAACATATTCTCACGGAAATCATCCGTTTGAAAAGGTTAAAATCCTGTGCAAACCACCGTTTTATGTATACGGCGGGCGTGGGAACGTTGACGTCGTCGATGCGACTGCAGATATTACATTATTATTATTATTATTATTATTATTATTATTATGAGTAGTATTATATTATTGAGATACTGTCAGGTGATCGATATTATTGTAATATATATATATATATATACACGTTTCAGTTGTCATGATATTATGTAGGTATACCGGTGAAATATTCATGATTTATAGTTGTCATTATTATTGTCCATGTCTTCATCGATTAACGGCTGCATAATAAATGCAGCGATTCGCATAAATGGTTTTATATGTAAGATTGTTTAAGAGTTCGAGTGATCTGTAAATTTATTATTTTGCTGAAATAAAAAATGCATTTTATATATCTTACACGTGAAATCGAAACTAATGTACAAACCTAATCGATTCAGACAAAAGTAAAAGTCATCTCATGTTCGTTTTAAAACTATGGTGTATAGAGATGCTAATGATTTTTACTCTTTAGGAACACAGAGGTACCTACCAATCAATATAATAATATTATATATATATAATGTGCGTGTATTATACACATGATATAATGGATTTTCGTTATGTTTATTACACGCGATAAAAATCTGACCCTTATACCAGTAATATATTTTTCACCCCCCCCCCCCAAAAAAAAAAAAACAATATAGGTAGGTACCAATGATTTATTATATTTTTATATTTAGGTACTTTTTTAATCGAATTTTTTTTTCTTTTATAAGTTTAATAATCTGACGTAATTTAACAGCATATCCATTACAGGTGGGCATACCTCCCATGTATATAACATATATATTGTTTAGAATTCGTAAAAACGGTACGCGCATTGGTCATCCAAACCAAATTATGAAACTTATTGGCTTTCGCATAATATTTGTTAATCAAATCATTTCCTATTGTGATCTATAATAAACACGTGCCCAACAGGCAACAACAATATTGACTATTGTCTATTAGATATAATATTTTAGGTACCTACTCCAAAAACGTAAAAAGATGTATGAACATTGAAAGTCATTTAATATAATAAAATAAAATATTATGTTAATACTAAGTGTTACATAAGTGTAATAGTACCTAAACATAACTTTATTTCATTTATATTATTACTCAATTTTTACATTGTTTTTTTCATATAGTAATAATAATCTTCAAGTCTTCGGGCTTAGATAAGGTCACGTAAAAAAATTTCAATTAAAAATTTAATATAACGCAATAATAAGTACTCGAGTATTAGTATTATATATTATACACTAATTTATATCATAATATTATGGTAAAACATACTGCTGTGCCATTGACTATAATAACATAAACTATAATCTGTGAGTGGCTTATTAGTTATTACATACCCGACTACTTAATAATTATATTGTTATTTTGATAAATTTTCGGTTGAATGGATAACTGTCATTAGTATTTAAATGTTTTTACAGCTATTTTTAATTCTATAATCGACGGTATACAACTTAATTGGTCGAAGATTTACTCATTGGTAAATTTAATCCGCGATAACGACAAATAAATAAATACATAACATTGTAAATACTTAATAATTATGATAAAATACTTCAATTTAATAATTCAAAGTGACGTTTTTTAATAATATGCCTAGTATTTAGTAATACGATTAACTGATACCGTATAAGAACTATTGCGTATTTGTGTTTGAAAGTGCACATTACCTGTGTATACGATACATTACCAGTAATTTCATTAATATTTAACACGATTTTAGTCACAATACATTACAAAAAACTATAAAAGAAAAACGAAACGCATTGAAAAAAATTATAATTTAAAAAATGTATACTTAATGAGTGTTAGAAATACAAAGGGAAAAGGAACGACAACCGATTGGCCAACATTCTATAGTATCTAGTGTATAAGTAGAGAGTAACAACAGGATTTAAAAATATTCAAAATTATATTATCAACAAAAATATATTTTTTGTAAAAAAAAAAAAAAATAATTAACCAATATAATTTGAACATTTAGTAGGTATTAAATTACTTAAGTTATGACCGTTGCCGATAAGATAAAAGAAAAACATCTAACTGCTAAGTTAGTTTAAAAATTCGTCACGAAACATAATCATAATACAAATAATATAATAAATAATGAAATACGTTGATATATTATATTCTAACAATTTCATTTCTCCCGAGTACCTTCTGCTGCCCGGTCCCTTGTTCAATTGTTATACGCATACACACATATAATGTGTATAGTATATAATATGCTTATAAAATATATTTTATTGAACAACGATGGTCAGTAGAAAAGCAAAAATTTCGTTAATACACCATCTGGTATTTCGTTGCACAATACCATAACAATTAATATTATATATAATCTATACTCTACGAGAAGTTTTTAAAAATCAAAATTAATATTTTATGATTTAATACACCATATCAACTTATAATAATTCATATTAATTAACTACTTCTCTATAAAAAATTTATTCAACATCGAAGAGTAGTGATTGAATTGTGATGACTGATGGATAATAATGTTGTTTTTATAATTATTCTTGTAAATTTTGACTTAGTATTATACTATTATTCGCTTTGATATATTAATATAAATATTATGCATATAATACACTGCGATTTATAAATATAAAATAAAAACAAATTATCCAAAAATGTGTGTCCAAACTTAATGTCTGCTGTATCGTACAATATAAACTGCTAATTAATGAAAAATAGAGATATCACTTTTTGCAACATCGTGTATTATAATACTGTATCAATATATTGGTATGTATTTTCTTAAAAAAAATGATAATGATTTCGTCAGAATACTGCAGGTTGTAAAATCGTGTGTAGTTTGACACAATTTATTTAATTTTACAGAATTTAACAAAATAAATTAAATTTCCCAGTTTCAGTATGAAATCAAAATTTATAGATACAGTAACCTGCAGCGAAGTGACTGTATTAAATAAATTCGTTACTTTTAAATTTTCAAATTTTGTTCATCATGTTATACATTTTAATTTAAAAATTGTGAAAAAAATCTTAAATCTATGCTTGTCAACACATTATAATATTATTTAAAGTTAAATATAATCTTTAGATTTTAATCGTTAATGATCAGGATGCAGGTTACAGTAATGTTAAACAAAATTTGGCAATTAAATAATTTTTTATGACCTATTCGCCCTTTTCAATCTAAAACGCCTATAATAATAGATTTATTTTTCTATTCTATTTTTAGTATAAAAGACTTTCTAATAATTTAAAATAGTTAATTAGTCTTTTTATTTTGATTATTTTTTTATTTATTTTGATATTTTTTTATTAGCTGGTTGCTGTTTAAATTATGAAAAGCTGCAGACGGTAGAAAATTGTGATTTGGAGTTGGCCATTAATAACTTTTCGTGATCGAAGAAAATTTGAGCATAGAGTAACATCAACTTTTTATGTGCGTTCAAAGTTTAAACGTTGACGAAATTGGATATTAAAATTTATTAATGTATTATCCACAAATTTAGTAGTAGATATTTAAAATATTTCATTATTAATCAAATTATTATTTTTTTTGACTCAATTAAAATAAATATATATTTTGTTAGAAACATTTTCAACCTACTCTATTACTAGTAGAAAAATTAATTATATAATGCCTTAGTCTTAAATGATGCTACAGTGTTAGGTTTCATTACTATATAATTATTTTTTTATTTTCATATGTAGATATACATAATGATTTATTATTGAATTTAAATTTAACACATCCATCACTACTATATACAGTAGTAGTGACTTATTCAATGACGAACTAAACTCAAAACTTACTAAACATACAGCAAAGATATCAGTTTATCTACTTTATCTAGTTTTTATGCGGAAATTTCAAGTAGGATATTTTTTACGTTGGTGATGAGGTGGGAAAATCCTGTGACAGCTACACATAATATGTAATATAAATTATGCAATACCAAAATATATATATACAATATAGGTGCTTGTTAACGTCTGGTCTCGGCGCCATGGTCGAACTACAATCATTATCAATACCTAGTCAATACAATACAATCGTAAATATTATCGAATACTTTAGTTGCAGTATATACATTATACATACAGCTGCAACAGGAGGTATTAAAAACATTATTACTATAGTACATGATGCTGCTATTCATAATAGCAGGTAGTAGATACCTACTGCTTAAACACAGAAAAATAAAGTCAAATATTATTACATTTTCGGGCAAAAAATGGACCGGCGTTTCCAGCATTTCCGCTATTATGTGTGTATAATGTATATATATATATATATATATCAGGGGACAGAGGTGGCTAACTCGTAGTATACGTTGATAAACATTTTTTAGATTATATAGGTATAAAACGTTATAACATATTTTTAAACTATTTTGGCTCTTGATATCATTAAGTATGTTTATCAGTGCCGGATCTAACATTTTTTTAACCCGGGGAAAAATATGAAATTGGCGCCCTTTTATATCAATAACCTTTTTTTTTTTTTACTTATTATATAATTAGAAATTTTCGCCCCTTTATGACTAATATCCGGGGCACATGCTCCTGATTGCCTCCCCCCCCCATAGATCCGGTGCTGCTGATGCTTATCCATGTGGTTCGCGAACATATTTATAATGACCACCCCTAATATTACACGAAAAGAGTATTATTATTATACTGTTATTTTCATAAATCCGCGTTGATACGATATAGTAATAGTCTCCGCGTTGGTCGTACATATCCGTTTATGATTGTCACCAATAAGCATGTTCACGACCATATTTTCTTTATTAGAGAAATTTATTAGTCAAGTTCTGATTTTTGAAAATTTTAAGTATATACTCAAAAGTAGATTCGATATTACTTATATTTTTATAAAACCGTTTTTAAAATAATTAATAACTTAATAATTTATCATAAAAAAAGGTTCTTATTTGATAAACAGAAGTTTGTATCGCCATAGGACACTTCTTAT